CCAGTATCATTCTCAATGGTGAAAAGCTGAAAGCAATTCCATTAAGATCTGGAACAAGACAAGGATGTCCACTCTCACCACTGCTTTTCAATATAATACTGGAAGTCCTAGCCAGGGCAATAAGACAAGAGAAAGACATCCAAGGAATCCAAATAGGAAAAGAAGAAGTCAAACTATCACTATTTGCAGACGATATGATATTATACATAGAGAACCCCAAAAACTCCACAGAAAAACTAATTCAACTCATCAATCAGTTCAGTAAAGTGGCAGGATACAAAATCAACACGCAAAAGTCAGTAGCCTTCCTATACACAAACAATAAATCTGAAGAAGAAGAAATCAAAAAAACCATCCCTTTTGTTATTGAAACAAAAAAAATCAAATATTTGGGAATAAATCTAACAAAAGAGGTAAAGGATCTATACAAAGAAAACTATAAAACACTGTTAAAAGAAATAGAAGAAGACACAAAGAAATGGAGAGACATCCCCTGCTCATGGATTGGAAGAATAAACATTATTAAAATGGCCATCCTTCCAAAAGCAATATACAGATTCAATGCTATTCCAATCAAAATTTCAATGTCATTCTTCAAAGAAATAGAACAATTATTGATGAAATTCATATGGAATCACAAAAAAACCCGAATAGCCAAAGCTCTCCTGAAAAAAAAAGAAGGGAATGGAGGCATCACACTCCCAGACTTCAAACTCTACTACAAAGCCATAATCATCAAAACTGCATGGTATTGGAACAAGAACAGACATACAGACCAATGGAATCGAATAGAAAATCCAGAAATAAACCCACAGATTTATGGTCAACTAATCTTTGACAAAGGAGCAAAGACTATGCATTGGAGCAAAGAAAGATTGTTCAATAAATGGTGCTGGGAAAACTGGGTCGCTACATGCAAAAGAATGAAGCTTGACCACTACCTCACACCATACACAAAAATCAACTCAAAATGGATTAAAGAACTAGACATAAGACCTGAAACCATAAAATATATAGAAGGAAATATAGGCGAAACACTACGTGATTTGCACATCAAAGACATCTTTACAGACACATCACCCAAAGCAGTGATAGTGAAGGCGAAGATAAATAGATGGGACTACATCAAATTAAAGAGCTTCTGCACAGCAAAAGAGACAATAACAAAAACAAAGAGAAACCCCACCAACTGGGAGAACATTTTTGCACCCAACACTAATGATAAAGGACTGATCACTAAAATCTGCAAAGAGCTGATGAGACTCAACAACAACAAAGAAAATAATCCAGTCAAAAAATGGGCAGAAGAGCTAAAAAGAAACTTCTCAGAAGAGGAAATGCAAATGGCCAACAGGCATATGAAAAAATGTTCAACATCACTTGTCATCAGGGAAATGCAAATCAAAACTACCATGAGATACCATCTTACACCAGTGAGAATGGCACATATTAAAAAAACTAGCAACAACAAATGTTGGCGAGGGTGTGGAGAAAAAGGAACTCTTCTGCACTGTTGGTGGGAGTGCAAACTGGTCCAACCACTGTGGAAAGCTGTGTGGAGATTTCTGGACCTACTAAACATAGAGCTTCCATATGATCCAGCAATTCCACTCCTAGGAATTTACCCAAAGGACACAGAAACATCAATTCCAAAGAACACCTGCACCCATATGTTTATAGCAGCACTGTTTACAATAGCTAAGCTTTGGAAACAACCCAAATGCCCAAAAATAGATGACTGGATCAAGAAGATGTGGTACATATATACCATGGAATATTACTCAGCATTCAAAAAAGATAAACATATGCAATTTGCAGCAACATGGATGGCACTGGAAGGGATCATGCTCAGTGAAATAAGCCAAAAAGAAAAAGAAAAATACCGGATGGTCTCACTCATAGCAGGAATCTAGAAAACTTAAATAAGGGACCAGGAAAATGAATAACTATAAGAAAGTGAAAATCAAAATCAGCAAAAAACTATGAACCAGAGACACTTTTAGGGGGCGGGGGCAGGAGGGGAGGGATTGGGGTCAGAATGGGGGGGCTGCAATTGTATGGGGAATAACAATAAAATTTATTATCTAATAAAAAAAAAAGAATAGGATTGGACAAGAGTAGGAACACATTATTCTGAACAGTTTGCTGGTATACCTAGAAGCACTGCAGTAATCCCTGTGGTTATTTCTGGGCCCTTGGCCTTAGGCAAAGAAACATATAAATAATGAGAATTTTTTTTAATAACAGCCTATCTATTATATTTTTGCCTTTATTAAAAAATCAGGCCAGCAGTCCTTTTAGCAGAAAAACGAGGCTGCTAAATTCCTATTTTATTCCTTGCAAGTGGAAGTGTGATGTGCCTGAAGATGAAGAGAAGTCAATCTTTTCTCTTGCTTCTTTCTCAGATAGTTGCTTCATGGCACCAAGACTGCAAGTTAATTGGGAGGCCACCTACACTGCCTGCATCATTTTCTAGAGATCTACATGCTAACAAAATTATTTACAATGAGCTGTGTGCTTTTATTGCAGTCTATTTTCCAGAAATGAGTGAAGCCTTGGCTTGTTACCTGCCAGTCAGCCAACGGGGATTGGAGGCACTGGACTCGTGGGCATGGATTCACATGTGGGTGTGGGGCCATCACACTGGAATTATAGAGTTGTGATTAGAAATGTCGAACTGCATTCAGAGGAAAAATAAAAAGACATTCTGCATAACTTACACATTTCTTTCTCTTTTCTTCCCCTCCCAGTGAGAGATCTAGAACACATTGCATCCTGCTCCATCCATCTCTGATCAGCCATGGTCATGTTGTGTTTGCATCATATCTTCCTCAGCCTGGAACATTCTCCCCCAGCTTGTCCCCTGCCAGACTCCGCCATAGTGCTGTCTTCCTTGGCGATCTCCCAGGTTCTCCCCTTCCTGTACCCTCTTTGTGTGTAACTCCCAGTAGAGGCCCGTAGAACTCCTTGTTCCTCACTGCTTGTTTCCATATATCTTTTCCGCTGAGTTGGTAAACATTCACGTGTGTTTCTTCATCTTTCATGTGTTTTGTCATCTTTGTAACTGGTGCCTGACTTGGTACCTGGCTGTGACATTGTGATTCGAAAGACATAAATGATTTGGTCACCTAGGTGACCAAGAAATCTATTTCTTGTACATATTTTATCTTCACAGTTTCTAGCTCACAGTCTGCCCCAAACCTTGAAATTTACCAAGTGTTGCGAATATTTAAGTGTCTCTTCTTATGTTACAAAGGTAACTTTTGGAAAAGACCTGCCATGGGTGCTGCTGGGCAGGGAAAGCAATGTGAATAGAGGGATCCTGCCCCTGACTTGCAGGGGCTAGAGGTCAAGTGCAATCACCAGGGACCAATGATTTAATCACTATGCCTTGTGTAATGAAGCCCATACAATCCCCAAAGGGAAAGAAGGGGGAGCTCCAAGAGCTTCCAGGCTGGGGAAATAGAGCACTTACAGGTGCTACGTGGCAGACCCCAAACTCCAAAAGGATGGAAGCTCTCTTGTTTAGGATCTTGTTGTAGGTTTCTCTTCACCTGGCTGTGGATTTGTATCCTCTGTAATACGTTGGTGATATGGTAGGTAAATGGGTCTCCAGAGTTCTGTGTGCCATTCTAGCAAATTAATGGAACCCAAGAAGGGTGGGTTGTGGGAACCCCCAATTTATAGGAAGTCAGTGAGAAGCAAGGGCTACAGCTTGCACTTGCAACTGGCCCTTGAGGTCTGAGGAGGGAGTTGCAGAAGCCTTCCATCTGTAATCAAGCTGTTACCTGCACTTGCGGCCTGCCTCTGAAGAGGAGGGCAGTCTTGGAAGATTGAGCCCTTTCCCTGTGGAACTGATGCTACCCCCAGCTAGATTGTGTGAGAATTAAGTTGAAAAGAATTGAATTTTCAGACACCCTTGGCCTCCGAGAATTACTCGCTGGGTGGGGAAACATTTGCACACTCACATGGGAATTGGGTTCGTGTACCCTACATATACGGGGTATATACGGGGTGCTTAGAAATCCTCGTGGCAGGAAGGCATGCTTGCTTACCTGGCCCTGTGAGGGGATGGATGGCAATAGGGTGGTAAGGTGAATTACAGCAGTTGCCAACTGCCAAGACGTGGGCACAGCTTTTGTGAAGAAATTCACCCTATCACCAATGGCTACTGGCAGCCCTTTTGTGACAGGTGTGATTTTGGGATCTGAAAAATTATTCAGTTTCCCTAAATCATTGATGATCTTAAAACAAGGTGCTTTTGGAATTCCAACTAGGTAGTTACAGAATAATCAAGTGAAAGCTTGAAGGGAAAAAAAGTCTCATTTGATTTGAACACAAATCTAATAATGCAGTCATTTTAGATCTACTCGGTGCTATTCATGTTGCTGAGCGAGTGTCATGGGGACAGTGGAAACTGAGCAGGCATGCTTATGTCAGCTGAAGTGATTTTGTAGAAGGACCTTGTCAGAGCCCATCTTCACACTTATGCCTTGAGTGGCTGAAAGTGCCAGTGACCACCATGAATACACTGTGCACCAGCCTGCTTTGATATGTGTGAGGACAAATTTCTTTCTGTGGCTTTGAAATTTTCCCTAAAGCTTCTCTAACCTACGTAATTTTTTTTTTTACAAAGTTTGCTTTATCCTTAAATTGAGCAATCACTGTCCGGTGGTGATATAATAATTATAAAACTAGTCATGATTTGCTATCAATTACTTGTTTTCCTGACTGAGGACATCTTGAGAGTCCCATGAAGAGGGGACTTTTCTCTGCTCATTTGGGAAGCCACCTTTTTCTGGCTGGTGATCCCTCTCACATTCTAAATTCCTCAGAACTTGAAGTATGGTTTCCTAATTTCCCTAATGGCCCCTCTGTCTTAGGCAGAATAACAGAAGTTAATCCTTTCCCACTCTTGCTTCTACTTTTGCTAATATAGAGTCCCCTAATTTACAGAGTATCTGCCCCTGTGAAATTAATTTGGCCTGTGCATTTTGCAGGTACTACTCAGTCCTCTATCCCCTGGAGAGAAAACTATCAGATGCCAAGTCCCGTGAACTGGTGTTGTACATCTGGGCCCATGCAGTGGTGGCCAGCATCCCTGTGTTTGTTGTGACCAATGTGGCCGATATCTATGCCATGTTGACCTGCACCGAAGTCTGGAGCAACTCCCTGGGCCACCTGGTATACGTCCTGGTCTATAACATCACAACGGTCATTGTGCCTGTGGCTGTAGTGTTCCTCTTCTTGATACTGATCCGACGGGCCCTGAGTGCCAGCCAGAAAAAGAAGGTCATCATTGCAGAGCTCCGGACCCCACAGCACACCATCTCCAGAAATTAATTCAGAACTCATAATATTTTGGGTAAATATAGACATATATAATATTGAATTTAATAACTGTATCCTTGAATTTATGTATTTAGAATTTATATTTACATCTACTTAAAAAATCCAAAGTGGGCTTCCCTGGTGCTGCAAGGGGTTAAGTCTCAGCACTACGAAGCAGTCCGCAGCCTCTGCATCAGAGTTCAATCTCTGGGCTGGCTAGAGAGCAACCCACATGCCTCAGCAGACCTCTCCTGTCTCACCTGCTGCTCCCCTCAGCAATGTGTTTAGTTCAGTCTGCCTGTTCTGTTCCCCACTCTGTCTCTGGTGAATCTCTCACTCTACACCCCCCCACACACACACACACACTTCTGGCCTGTACCCCAGCTCTTGTATGCATAAATAAACAAATATTTTAAAAATAAATCCAAAGAGATGCAATATAAATACTTATGCATTAACTAGTTCAAATAACTAGAATACTATTTAGAGGGGCCTCCCTGTTGGCACAGGGCTTAAAGTCTCAGCTCTGTCAAGCGTTCTCCAGCCACTGCAGCAAGAGCTGGATCTGCAGCCAGGGAGCTAACCCACATGGCTCAGCAGACCTTTCCTGTCTTTCCCGCTGCTCCCCTCAGCAGTGCATTCAGTAGATCTACCTGTTTTGCTCCCCATTGTGTCTCTGGTGAATCCTCTCACCCTCCTCACCTCCCAACTATCATACCTCTGGCCTGGACCCCAGTTCTTGTATGCTTCAATAAATAAATCTTTTTAAAAAAGAATATTATTTAGAGAATCTTATTTTTTTTATAATATGCTCCCTTAAAATTTATTCCCTTGGTTAGCATTTAGCTTCTAGTTGTGGGCTTTATTTTTATATATGATGTTTCACTGGAGGATATTAAAGCACAGCCCACAGATTTTCTGTAGGAAATGATATGATCCTTATTTTGCAGATGGGGAATGGAGAGGCACAGATGGCCACATCATAGCCCTAAGAAACGAAGCAAGTTAGAGACAGCTAAAAACAGCAGAGAAGGCATTAAGCCCCAATTCTTCCACTGTACCCTCCAGTGTACTGATCATTATCATCTATTGTTATTAGGACTATTTTTTGAATACCCACTTGGCACATATTTTTTTTTGTCATTCAGCCATATGACCTTAATTATTTTTTAATTAAAATTTTATTTTTATATTCCCCATACAATTAAAACACCCTTATTTTGACCCCAAGCCTTACTTTCCCCGCCCACCACCCCCCATAGAGTGTCTCTGGTTCATAGTTGTTCGTTGATTTTGATATTTTCTTTCTTTTAGTTATTCTTTTTCCTGGTCCCTTATTTAAGCTTTCTGAATTCCTGCTGTGAGTGAGACCATCCGGTATTTTTCTTTTTCTTTCTGGCTTATTTTGCTGAGCATGATCCCTTCCAGCTACATCCATGTTGCTGAAAGTTGCATGTGTTTGTCTTTTTTGAATGCTGAGTAATATTCCATGGTGTATATGTACCACATCTTCTTGATCCAGTCATCTATTTTTGGGCATTTGGGTTGTTTCTAAAGCTTAGCTATTGTAATTAGAGCTGCTATAAACATAGGGATGCAGGTGCTCTTTGGAATTGATGTTTCTATGTCCTTTGGGTAAATACCTAGGAGTGGAATTGCTGGATCATATGGAAACTCTGTTTAGTAGGTCCAGAAATCTCCACACAGCTCTCCACTGTGGTTGGACCAGTTTGCACTCCCACCAACAGTGCAGGAGAGTTCCTTTTTCTCCACAATCTCACCAACATTTGTTGTTGCTAGTTTTTTTAATATGTGCCATTCTCACTGGTGTAAGATGGTACCTCATTGTAGTTTTGATTTGCATTTCCCTGATTCCAAGTGATGTTGAACATTTTTTCATATGCCTGTTGGCCATTTGCATTTCCTCTTCAGAGAAGTTTCTTTTTAGCCCTTCTGCCCATTTTTTGACTGGATTATTTTCTTTCTTTGTGTTGAGTCGCAACAGCTCTTTGTAGATTTTTGTGATCAGTCCTTTATCATTGGTGTTGTACGCAAAAATGTTCTCCCAGATGGTGGGTTTCTCTTTGTTTTTGTTATTTGTCTCTTTGCTGTGTAGAAGCTCTTTAATTTGATGTGGTCCCAGATATTTATCTTTGCCTTCACTATCACAGCTTTGGGTGATGTGTATGTAAAGATGTCTTTGATGTGCATATCATGGAGTGTTTCGCCTGTATTTCCTTCTGTGTATTTTATGGTTTCTGGTCTTAAGTCTAGTTCTTTAATCCATTTTGAGTTGGTTTTTGTGCATGATGTTAGGTAGTAGTCAAGCTTCATTCTTTTGCATGTAGCGACCCAGTTTTCCCAGCACCATTTATTGAACAAACTTTCTTTGCTCTAGTGCACATTCTTTGCTCCTTTGTCAAAGAATGGTTAACCATAAATCTGTGGGCTTATTTCTCAATTTTCTATTCAATTCCATTGGTCTGTGTGTCTGTTCTTGTTCCAATACCATGCAGTTTTGATGATTATGGCTTTGTAGTATAGTTTGTAGTGTTCAATAACATTGATTGATTTTCAGATGTTGAAGCATCCTTGTGTTCCTGGAATGAATCCTACTTGGTCGTGGTGAATTATCTTATGGATACATTGTTGGATTCTGATAGCTAAAATTTTATTGAGGATTTTTGTATCAGTGTTCATTAGGGAGATTGGCCTGTAGTTTTCGTTTCTTGTGTTGTCCTTGTTTGGTTTTGGTATTAGTGTGATGTTGGCTTCATAGAACGTATTTGGTATTATCCCTTCCTTCTCAATTTTTTGGAAGAGTTTGTGAAGGATAGGCACTAATTCGTCTCTGAATGTTTGGTAGAATTCATTTGTAAATCCATCAGGTCCTGGGCTTTTGCTTTTGGGGAGGTTTTTGATTACCATTTCAATTTCACTGCTTGTAATTGGTCTGTTTAGATGTTCTATTTCTTTTTTATCTAGCTTTGGGTGATTGTAGAGTTGTAGGAATTTGTCCATCTCCTTTAGATGGTGAACTTGTTGCCATATAACTGTTCACAGTAGTTACTGATTATTCTTTTGATTTCTGCTGTGTCCGCTGTGATTTCTCCTCTTTCATTTATGATCCTGTTTATTTGTGCTTTCTCCCTTTTTTCCTTTGTGAGCCTGGCTAGGGGGTTGTCTATTTTATTGATTTTTTCAAAGAACCAGCTCTTGGTTTCATTGATCTTTTGGATTTTTTTTTTAGTTTCAATTTCATTTATTTCTGCTTTGGTTTTTATTATTTCTTTTCTTCCACTTGTTTTGGGGATTTTTGTTGTTTTTTTCCTTGATCTTTGATCTTTGAGATTAGGTGGTTTCTTTGAGTTCTTTCTTGTTTCTTGATGTGAGCCTCTATTGCTATATATTTTCCTCTTATTACTGATTTTGCTGCATCCCATACATTTAGAAAATTGGTGTTCTCCTTGTCGTTCCATTCAAAGAATTTTATTAATTTCTTCTTTGATCTCCTCATTAGTCCAGTGGTCTTCCAGTAGTGTGGCTTTCAATCTCCCTCATGTAGAGAATTTCCTTGCCTTCTTTTTATGGTTTATTTCTAGTTTGATGCCTTCATGGTCAGAAAAATGGTTGGTATGATTTCAATCTTGGTGTATCTGTTGATGTTTGTCTTTGGACCCAGTGTGTGAGTAATCCTTGAGAATGATCCGTTTGCGCTTGAGAATAATTTGTACTCAGATTTTTTGGGTTTAGTGTTCTATAGATGTCTGTTAAGCCCAAGCGCTCTAGATCCTTATTTAGAGCTTTAGCGTCTTTACTTATTTTTTGTCTCATTGATCTATCCATTGTTGATAGTGGTGTGTTGAAGTCTCCCACTACGTATGTGTTTTCTATGATGTCTATTTTCAGAGATGACAATAGTTGTCTGATATATTTTGGTGCTCCTTCGTTTGGTGAATATATGTTAATGAGTGTTATTTCTTCTTGAAGTATTGTCCCCTTGATCATAACGTAGTGACCGTTGGGGTCTCTTTTTACCTTTTGAGTTAGAAATCTATTTTATCTGATATAAATATAGCTGTTCCTGCTTTCTTTTTTGGTCCATTTGCTTGTAGGAGTGTTTTCCATCCTTTTACTTTGAGTCGATTTTTATCTTTTGTAGCTAAATGTGTTTCCTGGAGACAGCAAAAGGTTGGGTTTTGTTTCTTAATCCAGGCTGCAACTCTGTGTCTTTTTATTGAAGAGTTTAGTCCATTGACATTTAGAGTTAATATTGATATGTTAGCATCTGTATTTGCCATTGTGTTTGTCTTTCCTTTGATTTTATTTATTTATTCTTTTAATAACTTTTTTTGGCCTTATTTTGCTTTATTTGTCCCTCTGAGTTTCTGGCTTCTGGACTCCTTGTAGTATTTTTTGGAGTGGGGGTTTAGTTGTAATGAAATTCCAGAGTTTCTGTTTGTCTGGGAAGGTCCTTATTCTTTCTTCATAGAGGAAGGAGAGCTTTGCAGGATAGAGTATTCTTGATTGGCATCTGTTTTCTTGGAGTCTGTTGACTATGTCCCTCCACTCTCTCCTTGCCCGTAGTGTTTCTTCGAAGAAGTCTGATGTCAGTCTGATTGGTTTTGCTTTGAATGTTATCTGTTTCTTTCCTCTTGTCAGCTTCAATATTTTTTCCTTGTTTTGGATTCTTGGGAGCTTTACTATTATGTGTCTTGCTGTATTTTTCCTTTCATCATGGAAGTTTTGTGTTCTTGCTTCTTGTTTATCAATTTCAGCTCCTTCTTCACGTTTGGGAAATTCTCTTCAATTATTTCCTTGAATATTTTCTCTGTTCCTACTCTCTCCTCTCCTTTTGGGATTCCTATAACTCTTATATTTCCTTTCTTCTTGGAGTGAGATAGTTCCAGAAGTCTTTCTTCAGTCTTTTTCCTTTGTACTTCTCTTTCCTTTTCTGTTTTGGTTCTTTTTATTTCTGTGTCTTCAAGGGTACTTATTCGTTCTTCCATTTCATCTATTCTGTTTTCATTGCCT